ACAGGACCAAGAGCCTAGCACAAATCCATTCACTCGGTGCTCTCACAGGACCAAGAGCCTAGCACAAATCCATTCACTCGGTGTTCTCACAGGGCCCAGGACACAGCAGGATGTGGCATCCGTGGAGAACTGCTTCGTCTGCTTTTTAGAATGGACTGTGGAGGTGAGGTAGGAAACAGAATAAAGACTCCAAAAGGGAACACTTCTGAAATGGTGATGGAAGTTATTAGACATGGGGTCATTTGTATCCGGGTTTGTAAATGACATAGTCCCAGCCAAGTTCGAACTGGTTCTAAAGTAGAAACTTGGAAATGGTTCCCCAAACTTCCTAGGGAAGAGGTTGTGAGAAGATAATGAAGAAACTCACCAATATTTTAAACATTAGGTGCCATGGTGTGCTCCATCAGGGAACTTTCTCTTCCTCTTCCACCTTTGTTTTCCCTTCTCCTTCATCCTCTTCCTCTTCCTATTTCCTCCTCCTCTCCTTCCTCATCTCCTTCCCCCTCTTTCTCCTTTTCTTCCTCCTCTTTCCCTTCTCCTCATCTTCATTCTCCTCTTCTTCTATTTTCTTCTCATTTTCTCCTCTTCCTCCTCCTCTCTCTCCTCCTCTTTCTTTGTCTTCTTCTTCTTCATCTTCTTCCTCTTCCTATTTCCTTCTCTCTTCTTCTCCCTCTCCCTTCTCTTCCTCCCCTCCTTCTCTCTCTTCTTTGCTCCCTTCTTCTCTTTCTTCCTCCTCCTCTTCTCATTTCCTCCTCCTCTTCCTCCTCTTTTCTTCTCCTCTCCTCTCCCTCCTCCTCTTTCCCTTCTCCTCTTCTTCTTCTTCATCTTCTTCTTCTCATTCCCTTCTCATTCCCTTCTCATTTTCTCCTCCCCTTCTCCTCCTCCTCTTCCTCCTCTTCTTCCTCCTCCTCTTCCTCTTCTTCCTCCTCCTCCTCTTCCTCCTTTTCACCCCCCCCCACTTTCCAATTGTGTCAGGGGCTAATGAAGACCACCTCCCTGCACTTTGCCTGCAGTTGTATTCAGATTTTCTGATGGAGGCAGGGTGATCTCTAGACACATCTATGTTACCCAACAACCCTTCTATAACGGAACCGGCCCTTCCTGCCCATGGGCCTCCACTCTAGCCTTACTCCATTCTATCCTGTCCCATGCATCTCTGGGTGAGGAGCTTAGGAATGTGTGGGAACCTCAGCTTGGAGACCTACCTAGGAGCTGCTCCCCTTGACTTTCTTCCTAGGTTGAAGGTGGAAAGTGGGTTAAATCTCAACTAACAATGACTGAAGGGGTCAGTTTGCTGGCTATTCTGAAGTGAAGCACTGAACTCTTCAGGCAGTTCATCTCCCCACTGCTTGTTGCTGGGGCCTCCATTCCATAGGGTCAGCCTTTAAGAGGTAAGAGGAGGCAAGTTTTTGCATGTACGGTGCTGATTTGTGACTGAATGGATTTACAGGACCCTGTGACAAAGCCCAAGCTATGACTCCATTCTCTCTATAAAAATTTAAAATCCCATTAATTGCCCATCTGGCCTGTCTTCTAATTTTGCATCTTTTTCTGGACTAACTCTTCAGAAGCAAAGCAGTACCAGACAAAGGGACGTATGATGAAGCATTGCTTTTTGTTAGGTGTTTCAGGACCACTCCCTGTTCACTGAGGCACTCCACAGAGAAGGCCCTGGGACTGTACCCAGAGACAGACTGGTCAAGGGTCCCTGGGTGTATAAGTCAGGAATCTGTATGTGTGTGTACATGTGTGTGTGTGCACATGTGTGTATGAGTGCTTGTGTGCATGTATGTGTGTGTGTGTGCATGTGTGTGTGTATGTGTATGCATGTGCACGTATGGGCTTTAGGACACATCTCACTTAATCAACAGTCAGCAATCTTTTAATCACACTGCATTGAGGTCATTTTGCTTCAGCAAGCTGGTTCTCTGGCTGATCAGGCAAATGCACTGTGTCAAACAACCTATGCTGCTCACACATAAGACAAAATACTATTTTCTTAAGTCTCATCATTCCAGAAAATACAATATCCTTATTAGATGACATATGCTTGCTCAGTCAGAATGGCAGAGCATCTTGGGGGGCTGCCAGCTACTTCCCCTTCCTTCTCCATGTTTCCTCACACCTATATGCTGTCTCTCCAACCAAGAGAGAAGCCATAGGTTCCCTAGCGTAGATTATTTTTGACAAACCTGGGTTGAGCATCAAACCCAGGGCCTTATACTAGTAGCCATGGCTCCAGCCTCCCTCTTTCTTTGTTTCCAGAGTAAAAGTGACGACGTCTGGAACTGAAGCAATATCTTTCATATTGTAAAAAGAAAATTTTTAAAAAAAGCAGAAATTAATTGGCTCCAAGATCCCCAAACCACTGAGCCAATGCTGGCAGGCTGTTACCTTCAGGTCTCTACTTTTATGGCTGAAGTTTTTATTGGTCAACTATTCTGCTACTTCCATCCTAGCTGAGATGCATGAGATATTTATTAAGATCTACAGCTCTGAGATCAGATGGCAAAGTCAGGGATGGATGGGAAGAAAGGCAAAGACCAGGGGTTGGCAGCAGGACTCCCTCTGTTGACTGACCTGATTCTCTTCTGTTTTAAGAATTCACCTTTCTTTTTTAAGAATTAAGATACTATGTAGAAGTTCATTTGAGGAAAATTAATTTCCACTAAAATTCTATGCTCAAAACTCTGGATAAGATTCCATGAGGTTATTTCAGCCAGTTGTATTACTGGAAGCCAGGCTCTCTCAGGCCAGGGTCTTAGCATCGTGACATCTGATAGAGGAAGTCATGTTGACAGGATCATCTAGTCTGAACTCTAGTTGACCTTGGCACTTCTCATGGTGTGGCCTGTTCTGCCCTGGATAGCTGGCCAGTCAGTTTCAGGAGTCTGCTTGTCTCTGCACCTCTGCCTTTTGAATTACATGTGAGTGCACCTGGCTTTAAAACTATCTCTTTTTTTTTTAGTTTTACTTATTTTATGTGTATGAATGTGTTTCCTGCATGTACATATGTGTACCGTGTACATGTCTGGTGCTTGTGGAATTCAGAAGACATTGGACCTCATGGAATTGGGAGTTACAGTTGGCTGTGAGCCATTGTATGGGTGCTGAAAACCAAATCCAGGTCCTCTGCAAGAGCAACAAGTGCTCATAACAACTGGCACAGCTCTCCAGCCCTAGTTTTACACATGGCTTTTAAAATGGTGGCTCTGGGAACCACACTCAGGTCCTAGTATTTGTCCAACAAATACTCTATTGACTGAGCCATCTCTCTGAATCCTGCTCCTGAAGGATTCTGACTTCCTTTTGTTATCTCCTCCTTCTGCAGCAACCCTCACCTCTTCTCCTTACAAGGGCCTACAAGCTCCACTCTGGGTACCACAACATTTGACACTAAGCTATATCTTGTATGACTGAATCTTCTCTAAATTTCAAGCTCCATATTTAAGGATTCCATCTTCCATGTTCCTTGAACAGGCCCTAGTGTATTGCCCAGTGCCTGGAAAATGGCAAGTGCCTCACAGACTCCTGTGAGCATCTCTCCTCCTCTTCACTTCCGGTTAATGTGGGTGGATGCAGGACTTTGCTCAAAGCAAGTACCTTAATAGACTTAGTAAAGTACCAGAAAGCATCTGTGGTCCCTACCTAAAGGAAAATCAGCCATTAGCCCAGAGCTAGAATGAACGAATCTCCTCCCTCCACCATGCTGGAAAGAGCCAGGTTGTATCCTGAAATACACAAAAAGATGAGGCTATATCTTCCTGGCTCTATTTCATCCATTGGCATTCTTCCTTCCCCCAGGTCTCACCATGGCCAAATCCAAGAAACAGATGTTCACGTTTTTTTTTTTTTAAATTCTCCCCTGAGTCAGTGTGGCTGTTTATCCAATTTTCACCCTGCCATCCAGAGTTAGCCCTGCCCTGTGAGGCTCAAACAAGCCAGAATGTAAGACTCCAGTCCCAGGAAGAGTTGAAGAGAAGAGAGGGGGCACAGTGGGATCCCAGGGAAGACATTGCTTACTAATGGGATGTAGGGAAGAAGGCACACTTTCCTATAAATAGCCCCTGTTTCTCCATGCCTTGGAGACAGTGCTCCTTTGAGTCCTCCTCTTCCCCCAGGGAACACACACAACCTTTGGAACTGGAGACTCCTAGCTCCATCCTGCACTGACTCCTAGGAAGAGGAATGCTTTGATTATTCCAAGCCCATAATTCTGTAGTGCTGTTCCACACCGCTGGACCTCTGTCCTGCTCCTCTGATGTCTTGAATTTATCTGACTGCCACTGGGCTGTTGGTGAGGGATTCTCATCTATACCGATGATGCTCTGTCTTGGTAATCTTCAGACTACTTGGTTTGTTGATTTCAACTCCTTAGCTCCAACATTATCTTAGTGAGCTGTCTGTGCAGGGAGAACTGTGGAGACAAGACCCTTCTTAACTCAGTTCACTGCATCTCACGGATGAGCACTGAAAGTTCAGGTCCGATGGCAGCATCTGTGCAAAACAAGGGCATCCAGGGACCTACCATCAGATTTTTTCTCTTCCTTAAGCATGATCACCATGTATGTTCACAAATAAAAACATGAAATGTTCTGACAGCCAAGCAAAGCATGAAGAATTAAGCTCCCTAAACAGAAAAATGCAAACATCATCCTTGCTGCTGTGCTTCTGAGGAAACCTTTCATTCCCAGACTCCACCCCCACCCCTTGGTCTGGTTGGGTTCAACCTAGGAGACATGTTTCTGCATCGTGGCAAGATTCCATTTGGAGAAGGAAGGATACAAGTTTTAAGGACTGGTTGTTTGTTTTTTTTTTTTTTTTTTTTTTTAATGATAAAATCAGACTTTCCCAGAGAGGATGTCAGAGGCAGTGCGGTCAGAGGCAGCTGCAGGGAGGTTGGTGGAGACATTAGTGGTTCCCTGGCGACAGCCCCATGAACCTCACTGCCTCCCAACGCTGGCTGGTCCTTTGAGTCTCAGCCTCCAGGTCCTCTGGCTTCTGCATCCTTTTACCATCATTCTTGTTCCCCTCACAGTGAACTTGAGACAAGCCAGACCTACCTGTGTTCTTGGACCACATCAGTCCGGATGCTCCTCCCTTCCCCGGCTTTGTCTGTGATGGTCTTCAGTTCTTTATTCACCCATCTCAGACTACACCTCCTTTGTGCTAAACTCTGGAACTCTGGCTGATGCTGGCTGTTGGGCTCCTCAGGGTCACATGGTCTCTTGGTCTTTAGCACGAAGTCCTGTCTCATATTATATATATACCCCCCAATAATGCCTTCTGTCGAGCCACATGCAATAACAGATGGGTGTAATGGGGTAGTCCAAACCGGAGGAGCCCAATAAGTACATTGATGTTTTGTAGATTGACCCCAACACACAGTCTGGGGGTTCCAGGAAGACAGTTTTCCCCTATCCTTGACATTGGTACCTCTTTCTCTGACTAATTAGCATTGAAAGAGATTTTGGTAAGCAAGGTTAGGTT